GCTAGCCACTCGATCCGGCACAAGGAAGCCTCTGCAAGCATCCCAATCAACGCATGCAGCCACCGATGGCACATGATACATTTCTAACGCAGCTCTGCAGATTGCACTTCCGTGGCAGCTCAGCATCAACCCGTAGCTCGCGATCTGCCTCTCAGCTTCAACGGGCAAAGTGAGAAGTGACTGTAATGCTGAATAGCGTTTCGCACTCAAGATGCGCAGACTACGCCATGCCATTTCACAGAAGCAGTGCCCAGGGAGGACAGCAAACGAAGCCTGCCTAAGGAAGTAGGTGCCCATGTCCATGTTACCTGCAGCTGGGATATGAAATTCTGGCAGACTCGTGAGAATCACTGTTCCGGCCCCCGGCTTGAGATTCGAAATGGCTTCATCTCTGGGCAAGGCCCGAATCTCGTGCATGCTCTGCACCCTCGACGCACCTCCCTGACCGTGGGAGTAGACGAGGATAGGGAAACGCTCGGATGACAGAGGAGCAGCATCCTCACATGGGTGTGCCAAATCGGGTCGCCACTCACTGTCGTGACTGGGCTTGGGTTGTGCGTGAGAAGCATATAGAAGCATGATGTTTGCTTGGCTTGCCTTGGACCCCCCCCTGTTTAGGCGACTGCACAAACCCATCCTTTCGCAAGCCAGGCGCTCCTAGCACGAAGTACACAAGGAACCCACAGCAATGTGCGCTCCTCCCAGCACCCCGAGGAGGCGGAGCCCAGGTGCTCCAGCAGAAAACCGGGGAAGAAGACCAGCCGGGCCATGGCGTCCTCGGCACATCTGCGGAAGTTGCTGCAGCTCTACTCTTCATGGAAAGACAGCCGGGCTACGTAGCTCCTTGTTAAGTGCTAACAAGAAGCCATGTGCATCTTCTCTCTGGGGCTGAGGGCTACTTTTTCTGCGGCTCGGAACAGGGGTGGTTGTTGACCAGGCTGCTGGAACCCAGCATTCAAAACCAATGCAACTCAGCTGCGGAGGTCGCCTGGCCTTCAGAGAGGTATGGCGCCTCCTTGCTTCCACGCTGAGCGGGATACCTAAGTCCAAAGATGGAATTCATTCCTCTGGGCCCGGAAAAGTAGAAGTATACTCTGGGCAATCATGGCAAAAGGAACAGTGCAGCTGACAGGCTCTCAGTAAGTAGCAGCAGTAGACCGTGTGGGATCCATATGTCTATGCCATGTGGCAGCACTCGGCAGCGCAGGCCAGCAAAGCGATCCAGTGATGAGCCAACATCTTTGAAGGGTCCTGCCAGCAGACAAACGAGACTGCAGGTACGGTGAGTCTGGCTGTTGGGAACACCGGAGCCGCTAGTCTTCGTACGCTGCTTACTTCTGTGGGATGATTCGATCCCAACTGCTTTCGTTTTCGATTTCCCGGTCAAAAGGTACTATCATGGTATATCATGGTGCTGTGTCATTCTGTTCATAGTCGCCAAGATTTGTCAGGCTCTGCCACGGGACCCCGCCGGGCCACATCTAATCCATCCATCTGAAACAGAGGCCCTTTCCTTGGAGCTCCGGCAGACGAGGAGAGCCAAAGACCGCTACCTGAAGCGAAGTGCTTTCGTTAACGTCCTGTCGTCTGCACGCATGCATCCAAAAGCGGATGTCAAAGGGGTCTGTGTTCTCCTGTGTTCGGACTTACTCCTAAGAGTGCCAGCTAGTTCGCCGCGCATCGGCTGGAGCAAGAAGCCAACTGCTATCAGTCTGCGTTCAGGAACAGCTTCCGGTGCTTTCGGCGGACCAAGCCATGCATGAATGCGAAGCCCACATACTCTCCGAATCTTATCCGACTACGTGAGACAGCCGAAGGCTCAGTATGCCTTCGCACCGGTGTAGAAAGCTGCAGCAGCAGCCACCACGGTGCCTGAAACACAGGCTTTGGCGTTGTTCGTGGGTGTATCACAACATCACGCACCGGAAACATAGTGACATAGGCCCATGACATAGGCGTTTTCAAGACGGCGCTGGCAGACTGAAGCGACGGTTGTGTTTACAAGACGCCGCGCCTGCAGACTGCAGCGCACCCTGTGCCCACTCAGCCAGTGCACCACGCCGGCTGGACTCGCCAGTGCCATTGCCTCACATTGCATCTTGTCGCTAGTAATGTTTGTCTACAACTGCAAGTACGACTCCGGCAAAGCATGCCTTAAACGTCAGAGCTACACGCCTCATGCCAGTGCCAAAAGTATGGAATGCTATAAAATCTTGCAGAACCCTGCCTTTGTTTCCCGCGAGCAGACGCGATCTGCTTTGCACTCAGACGCAGCTGAGAGACCACTGCTACGTGGCAGGCGCTGCAAAACGCCACCCGGCAGGCTGCGCAGCTGGCGGCGCGCAGGCGTGAGATGGCCTGGCGCGAAAAGACTTCGAGGCCAAGCCGTGCGTGGAGTTCATGCAAGCCGTGGCCCGCTTGGTGGCTGCACCTTCCTTTTGCGGCTGCTGTAAATTAGGCAGAATCAAGCCATCTAGTTCGCTTCAGGACATGAGGACCTCAACGAGGCAAGAGGGTGCCTGCACTGAAAGATGGTCGGGCCGTCAGCCAGGTCACATCATTCCGGAAGACGGCCCTGAAAGGTGCTGATCCGATGATCAGCCGCAAGAGGTGCCACACAAATCAAGCAAAGGCTGCACATTGAGCAAAGATGGGAACTAAGCTAGCGAGAAAAGCCGTCCTCCTGAGGTTCTACGTACAAACAACCTTGGGCCAAGCATGCTCACCTCCGGCTAGCGGCTAGCGTTGCAGCATTTGACCCCAGCTCGTCTTGTCAAAGTTGCGGCGCAAGCAGAAGCCACACAACTGGACAACGAGTGCGGCCCATGGCCAGATAATGCTCAATCTATCCCGGAAACAGGACGGGACACTGTAAGGGTCTTCCAGCAATGAGTACTAGGCCCCTCTACCTGATAGATCTGATCGTCATATCTCCGTGTGATAGCGAGGCCTTCGTTACCTAGCGGCGGACATATTTCCTGGAAAAGCTCTCTGCATTCCTACCTTCACAAGTGAGTGATTCTTGTTTCGGAACGCGGAAAACAACAGTGACAACGCGTACCGGCCGGTATGTTAGCGTTGGCTAGGCACTACCTGCGAGTTCCTGCGAGCAGCTTCGGGATGTAGGTCGCCATCGGCTCCCACAAACAAAGCCACCGTGAGCGCGGCACGAATCCGAAAGTGCAAGCTTGTTCTTTTTGCGCCGCGCAGGAAGCACGTCGACGTGCAGCTCGACGCCATTGGTGATGATGACTACTGGGCAGTCATCAGGCTCAGTAACTCTTGCTAGCTACCCGCCCTGCACTGCCAAGGCCCACAGACAAAGACGACTTGCTCTCCGACACTTTGCTGCGAGTATTGCTTTCGATCATCCTGCCCGTGCCACGGCTGTGCAGAAGCGGAGCGAGGCGGAGGCGCCGGGAGTGAGACGTGGCGGCCTGGCGTGAGAGATCTTCGAAGGGGCTGCCACAGCCCTCGAACCCGATTGCAGCCGAATTCACCCGATCCTTGACACTCAGCATGTGCAGCAGCCAACTTCCTGCACCCGCACTGGACCTCGAAAGCGACATGGTTCCGGCTCACACTCGCTCACTACATCTCACTACTTGAGTCGACGAGACCGGAGACATAAGCGTTGACAGCGGAACATAGGCATGACATTCCACTAGTCGTTTTCCCACCTGACCCGCATCCCAAACACCAGCGACACCAGAGGCAGCTAATCGTACTTCTTCCCAGCTGCGGGCTTGTCACGGGGCATTCGTTTCACGGGAATCGACAGGACGTGGTGAGCAGTCTTATGCCGAAGATTGCACCTGATGGCATTTCCGGTAGGTCCGAGACACTCGTTTCAACGGGAGTCTACCTCACTGCTCCAGCAAACCGCGAAGGGTCCCTACATGTTCGTTGTTTGTGGGATAGATCTCCGGGAAAGGAGCCCACGTCTTGCCATGCATGCAATAAACGCAAAATTTGGCTGCTATAGAGGAGTAGGGAGTTTGCAACTTGCAACCAGCTCTTCGCCGTCGGCAGGTTGCAACAGTTTTTGAGTGACGGTCTGGGGCCGGCACATCTCATACTACAGATCGACTGTCGCAATGCTGCGCCGGCAGCTTACGAAGGCGTTTCGCCTTTGGCTTCCCACCAACCTGGCTTGTGCCACAAGGACAACGAGACTCGAGCTTGGTCTGGCTGTGCGCATGTGCGGCCTGATGCCCCTGACTCCCTGACCTTTTCGCGGCTTTTTGCTTTGCGCACGAGCCACAAGCCACAGCACTGCAGCAGCGTGGACGGACCTTGGATGCGAAATTGATGGGAGCCTCCGGCGCTGTCGCAATGAGTTCGGACCGTGAGTGGTGCATGTGAAGTCGTTCTGTCCCAGACACTTTGTACCACAGACTTAGTGGTGCAGCTCTGTCTCCACGACCTGCGGGAAAATCGCCCGGACCTCATCTTCACGGAGGGCATGTTAAACTCGACCAGGCCCCTCAGCGCTACAACTTGATATATGATTCCAAGTTATGCTATCAGAGGTCCCTAAACCCATCACAACAAAGAAACTTTAAGCCCAAATGATTCAGCATGAATTGTCTCCATCATGATTATGCTGGAACCGCTGACCCGCGCCAGGCTACGGACTTGCCGTCTCCGTACGGTGCTGCCTGTCGTAACAAGGAGACAGGAAGCCGCTCTGAATCTCACATGCGAACTCATGAAGGCAAGGCTGGTGCATCTTCTATCGACACCGAAACGGGTGCTTGGCTTCCGTTTCGAGGGGATGCTGCGACGAAGAGTCGAGTTCGCAGTCCATGCAAGCTTTGGAAGCTTCTGGGAGGTATCCCTTCCCCAAAGCGCCTGTGACAACCCTCGTAGGTCCAGAGCCCTCAGGGTGGTACCGCAGGGTGCGGCCGCCAGTGCCTCGCATCCAAAGCCCAGGGCAGACTTCTATCAAACGGGACGAAGAAGAAAGACAGCTTACGAATCCAGTTTGGAGCTTCCGATCACGACCGAACAGCAACCCGGCATGCCTCAACAGCTGTCGCCGTGATGTTCAGGTTGCCAAAGAAGCTCAGCCATGTCAGACCTCTCTGCCAAGCTTCAGGCTTGCGGCACTCACACTCGGCTGCCGCAGGCAAGTCATGCATCTAGCATCATGTCCTCAAACCTTACATACCTTACTCGCTACATGCGATTAACTGCCACGGTTCGACTGAAAATTTCATCCACAGTAGACTTGAGATTTGTTTCCAGGGAGTTTCGAGTGCCTGCCTAAACATGCATCCCAGGTGTTCCTTCGAGAGCGACTCTGCGACTCTTCTGACGCACCCTCCCTCGCACAGTGCGCAGCCAAAGATCGCCCGATGCTACAGCATCTAGCGGGCTGAGTCTAGCTGTGCAGCCAGGCAACGTGTGCAGTGCTTGGCCACTGCCAGCATTGAAACATCTGTCAGAGCCGGGCACCATGTGAGGTTGAGGATTTTCAGAGCTCCTGAACAGCACAGTACCATCAGTCTCGGGGTGTTCACATGCTCTCTTCTTGGCTAGAGTGGCCATCGGCCATCGGCCCCTTCTTTGGCCCCAGGCCTGGCTCTGCAGCAGCGAGGAAAGCTTCCACTGCTGCATCTTCCGCTCTGCAGCCGCAGAGATCCAACTCCTCGAGCAGAGGCAGCCTTGGAACACATTGCCAGCTGCAATTTTCAGTCTTTGGATGTCTTTGGGAAAGGATGCTATACCTTCTCTGCTGTGCTGGCCCGGCCTGAAAAAAAAAACATCTTTCCCCATTCGGCTGGTTCTACACCCTCGAACTCCAGCCACTGCAGCATCCGGGTCCGCAGTGTACCGGGTCTCTTTGCAAATACCTAATGCTAACTCGCCACAGGTAGCTGGGCAAAGACTGCCGGCCGAAATTTCTGAAGCGCGAAGCGCAAGCTGTGTTGTTCCCCAGTACCCACTGAAACATTCACTCCCAGACAACGTTTGAATTGAGAGGGCTGGAGATGGACACGTCAGTGCCACCAACTTTGGTGGAGCAGTTCTCGCCACAGCCTGTCTTGAGTGAGCTACATTACATGGCAGGTTGGCACATTTGTGCCAAAATATGTCAGGCTCGGCAAAAACCAACGTGTGGGAGAGGTAGAACAAGTTTAGATACGAGCCAAGCCATGCCAGAGCAGATAAGCAGATAATAATCCCAGCTGCACCGAGAGCGCATCACAGAAAGCCTACCTCAAGCATTTATCAACAACTGTCGCAAAAACCGCTTTCCAGTCTCCCTATCTCTCTCGCTCTCAGCAGGTCCACGGGAGCACTTGCTTGCTGGCAAAGAGACTTCTGCAAGCTCAAGAAAGACTCCGCACTCAGCTGTGACCTGGACTTGGAGCTACACAGAACCAGTTGCATGTGATTTGCTCGCAGCACGGCGCTCAGCTCAGCCGTTTCACCGTTCAAAGCTGCACTCCTGGCAATGCATGCCCGACGCCGGAAGGTCTCTCAGCGGCATGTTTGTCAGCACGGGACGCAGTGCACGATCAACAACTTCAACGGACTTCCGCGCACGAAACCCTCGCTCACACCCGAGGCCGGAGCATCGCATAGAGACGTAGAACTCGCAGTTCTGGCAGTGTCTCGCAAATGAGCGTGATGCCCATCTCGGTCACCTGAGACGATGGCTTCATTCGAGTCGCTAGGTCCCATGTGTCACTTGTCATGTCCTGAAAGTGCTCCCGATCTCGTTGGCAAATTGCCCCTGGCTTTGCCGAGCAGCTCGCGGGCAGCGTGTAAGGTCCAATCGCTGCAGGTTCGTTGCCCGCCCCACAACACGCTGCACCTGTGGAACAAAAACATGACACATATTCGTCGAGGACATGGTCTGGCGTCTCTTGCGCTTACCCTGTCTCTTGGGATCGCGCCGTGGCATCGGTGAGAAGTTTGCAGCCACTAAAGCAAAGCTCCTGAGATGAAGGAAGGAGATGGCGACAAAATGGCGACAGCCACAGCCAGGCTCTCACGCACGAATGCACTTCCCACACCGGGCAGCCTGCAGGTTGCCACATGGTTGGGCTCGGAGCACCTTGCCGATGCCCTCGTCTGTGGCCTGCAAGTCTGGTGCTCAAGTGCTTCCACGCTGTCCTCACTCTCTATGTCCCAAGCCATTCATGTCGGCTCTGAGCTGCGCCCTTTACAGGCGGCAAGCAGACAGGCCTTCACGTTCCAATAGATGCTGAAGCTCCGCAAAGAGCGGCAGCGCTGAGCCACGGCGATGAGACCCTGAATAGAGCAGGGTCACTGCGCTCCCGTAAATGAGAAGTTAAGAAGAAGCGCCTTCGGCTTCTAATGACATTCAGACGAACGGCTTCTGCAAAATGACTCATTCTATCCTTCGTTGCAGTAGATTCAGTAGTTGTCGGGAATCGACCACCAGGCTGTCAAACCTATGCAGATGCATGTGGATCTGTCTCCAGCATGTCGGACGAGCCCGTCACCTCTCCGACAAACTACTGGCAGCATGCGGAAATTCCTCATCTAACTTGAACCCTAAACCTTCAAGCCTACCCTGCAGCGAAAATCCACGAGCCGCCAACCCGCCACTCGCCTCGTCATCTACGTCCTGACATCCGTCGAGGTTTAAGCTTTCCAGCGCCGGAAGGACTGGGAGCGCCTTGAGGGTCTCCTGGGAGTGTGAAAAACTCGGAGACTGCCAATATCCCTTAAAAAAGTTAAAGAATAAACCATTAAAAAATTAATTCTAGTAGGTAGCAGGATATTTAAGGCATATCTTCCTTTTTAAAAGGATATTGCAGTCTCTGAGAACCCTGCTTTGCAAGTTCAGGTCTCGGCCTGCAGGGCCGGAGTCGCGAGTTCGCACATTCGTGCCCAAATGCATCTGACATGACTCAACTTTATCGCCGACTTTTGCGGAGACCCGCCAGGCCCTGAACCCTCTGCCAGTGACCTCAACAAGCTGCGAAACCTTTCGAGCAAGGGCAAAAACAGCCTGGTTTTGACATACCCAAATACACTTTCAAACTGAGCCAACTCAGAGTTAGGAGGGACTTTCATTCGCGAATTTCCACTTGCCGTGCACACACTGAGCTTCCGTCGCGCTTTGTGTGCGCATCCCTATGTCGCTTTCAAGGTCTGCGGCTTACGGGTGTGAAATACTTCCTGTGCAGTGGGCCTTTCCCACACTCTTCTCGACGTCTTCAAACCGTTGGATGTAGCACAACGTCGCGCAAAAAGCATGTAACTCTGAACTGCCCGGGCTCGTTAGTGATGGAACGGCAGAAGGCAGCATCAATCTCCACAATGCTGGCTCCTGAGGGAGATTTTACACCGGAACTTTGGAAGGGAAGGAATTCGAGAATCACCACCTCGGTCGGTGATCTGCAGAGCCACCAGCCGCAGGAGAGCCTCCGGCAGGTAACGCTGGTCAACAGAAGTGATGGGTGAGACGAAGCACACCAACGCATCGATCAGGATTCGGCAGGGCAGGGTTCGATTACTCGAAGTTTACCCAGAGCTTTTGCAGGCATTGTAAATGCGATGTTGGGAGTCTGAGTATGCCGCGCGGTGGTTCCGAAGTCGCCCTAATTTGCATGATGCCAGAAGCCTCGGCGGCGGCAGGGCCGAAGGCCTGGAGACGCAGAGTGCGCAGCGCCACTCGGCAAAGGCCGCCGCAGGCAGCTGGAGGGCACAAGGTGCGAGCAGACAAAACCCCTCGTGCGGAGGGAACTGGGCCCAGGCAAACGAAACACACAGGTCAACCGTGTCGATCTCAGCCTTTGTACTGAATCATTCACTGCTCCAAACCACACATCCTTCCCAAATTACAGGAAGACGTTGGGTAGCTCTGATTTCGCTTATGCTTACCTTTTTTGAAGAGACGGTCGGGGACAAGCCCAGAATTGCGAGTGCTAGCGAATGCCGCTGTCACACAACTACTGGCAGAGAACATGCCACTGCCTGAAGCAAAGGAGAGTCGGAACACGTCCTCGGCACAGCGACTCCCGGCAGCCCATCAATACTTCGAGACACGAAGTACACTTCCTCCGTCCCTGATCCAGGCAAGGCTCGTCGACTGGAAGGCAGCAGATGAGCTCCTTCGTTAGCTCGCCCAGACCTTCCGGTGAAGGATTGTGTGTGTGTGTGTGTGAGGTTCTGAACGTGCTCGGTCGCCATGTTCGCACGACTCGCTGGACGTTTGACCGCAATATACCGCAACAATCCTTGACTGTACAAACATCGTTCCGAGTGTCAGTCTTAAAACGGGCACCGAACAAACGCCTGCAGCAGTTGCAAAAAGAGGTTCGCCCATGCAGAACTCGGAAGCTCAGAAGTGAAGCTCAGAAGCACAAATCTCCGGAGCTATTTTCAATCATGTTCTGGGTAGAGAAGTCAACCACCCCCCCCCCCCGGCACCCGAAAACCGTCAGGCAGAAGCTGGCTAGAACAGCAAGCCACCTAGGAACGGACAGTGAGCCATTACGCAGGAGCGATCGGCTGCCCATATTCGGCCATGAGAGCAGGGCCCGGATGCAAGTCTTTCAGATACTTTGCTCCAGCATGGGAGATATGCTAAATGAAATGCAGAAACCATGTGAAAGGTAATTTGCTGAGTACACAGTTTCATCCTGGAGCTTTTGCTTCGTTGCATCCTGCATTGCTGAACGAGTCGCTCGGCAGGGTAGGTAAAAAGTTTGGGTTTGCAACAACTGCTCCACTTACGATACACAGGTGTCGCTGTGGTCTGCTTTCGGCATCTACGCTTAAACCCGAAGCTGCTGCAGCCACGTCCCCTTGCCGGGGGCCAAGGGCTTACACCAAGTTTATTTTCGAACATCCTGAAAGCGAACCTGGCACCACATTCGTCACTAGTCAGATCGGGCACCCCTGCTATTGAGGTCAGTAGCCCGAGTCCCTCTGCAGGCCTTGTTTGAACTGGGCCATTTTGGAAGGTTGGGGATCGTGCGTAGCTTGACTGTGGGAGTAAGCTGTGCCCGAGCGGCGCTCGGAGTAGTCAATGAGCAACTCCTCTCCCTCCTGCGACGACATCCAGGCTGACAGTACCAGCACTAAAGAAGCTCGAGCCAGCTCTTTGAATACTATACTTAACCCCATAGATCTCTTTAAGGAACCTTATAGATCCCCTTCAAGGAGCCCTGACTAAGGCTCCCGTGCCTTTATGGCCCTGGCTGCTTCAAAGTGCACGCAAACGCCCGCATCACCGTCCTGGCCGACGGACGCATTCGGCCAATTGAGCTTCTTCTTGGGCCGTCGAATGTAGGGGGCCCATCAAACTATACTGCAATTATAATAAGGAACCCCAATAAAAGAGAATTGGTAATTAATTACCAATACTCTTTTATTGGGGTTCCTTATTATAATTGCAGTATAGTTTGATGGGCCCCGAAACCCTATTCGATTTTTTTAGGCCCCTATTTTCTACTGAGACTAAGCATTATGGACCCTGTAAATGTGCCGCTGGGACATCCCTGGCATCTTCTGGCGGCGTGCGGAGAGCCTCGCAGAACGGCCGAACGGCCGCTTTGAATACAAATCTGTGCTTCAGCTGCCAAGCAAAATCGCGCACTGCGCAGCACAAGCCAGTTTTACTTTATCTAACAATAGCACTGAGCAAAAACTCTAGCAAAGCACAAGAGAGCTCCGGCCCAAAGACAGCGGATGACCCAACTACTTATGTAGCGGGAGGACGAAAAACATGAAATCCGGAAAACACACTCCTCTGGTGGCAGACTGCTTGCCACCATGCCACATAGCTCAGATTTGCAGTGCCCTCGCACCTGACATCAGAAGCATCTTTCTTCAGAGAGCACTGCCGGCTAAGAAGAGGCTAAGAAGAGTACTCAACATATTGGGGAAACAATATTTTCCCCAATATGTTTAGTGCCTACAGTGCAGCAGGTGTGTGGTGGGCGGGCAGGCTGCATCCGACGCTGCGTAAATGGTCAGCTCCAAGTGGACACTACCCACAGGCCCCAAAGTAGTTCCTTTTTGGGATTACCTTATAGGATTCTATACAATATGAATATAATATGACCCCCAACAAGGAACTACTTTGGGGCCTTTGGGTAGTGAACGCTGAGACGGCGGCTGCTTTCCGGAGGCTTGCGCCAACAGCTTGGCCTCAAAATGGTGGTTTCCGAAAATTAAGGGTACCTTGTTGTGGGGTCCTTAGATTAAGGATCCTACTATTTTCTACATTAGGGTCCCCTATTTTCGGAAACTTCCAAATAACTTTGCCACATTCTCGCATCACCTACAAAGTGAGCGCCGCGTATGCAGCCAAGGTACATGATTGTACAGCATTCCGAACCCCAGTACACAAAGAAGAATGTCTCCATCTGCACCACCTGGGCGATGTAAGCAAGCATCAGCTGAAAACTCGACCTTGGAAGCATGTCATGACCAGATATCTTGTGTGAGATGAAATAACTGTGAAATACCTTGACATGCCAATCAACTTAGGCACTGTCAGAGCATATTGTACTGGATCTGCATGCCAAGCAGAAGCAGCAGCCACTTTTTCACCGCTGCACAGAGGCTACCGCCAAGTCCCTAACTCTCACCAGCGCAGTGAGAAAGATCTGCAGCTGCAAGGCGTTTAGCTGGAAACTTTTCCCAATGACTAACCCCAGGGGTGCACTCTAAGCCTCCTAATTCATGCTATGCTGAATGACTGTACCGAACCTGATACAACCGCGACTCAATCCTGTGTAGTTCGAGTTCGCGCAAACTTGGGCTGTGACCCTGCAAATGACATCGAAAACAGACAGGTTTGATGCATTTCGGCCAAGCCTTTGCGCTGCGTAATCCAAGAACAAGGCACTTGGTGAGACTGCTGTCTCTCGTCTGAGAGACAAGCCATGAGAGTAAATCATGTCGATAGGTCTGCTGCCGCATATATGTTACTTCGGCACTTCAGACGGAACTTCTTCGGAGCCTGAGCATTTCAGTCTACCAAGCAAGGGGCAACGGATCAAAACAGCAAGCCCGAGGCTATGAATTTGGTGTCAGAAGCTTTTGTTCCAAGTCACAATTCGGTAAGGATTCTTCGGGGAGCACGATTGGCATGTGCAGCAGTACCTGCTGCTCTGCCATGCTGATGTCCTCCAGCGAGTCCACGAAGTTGAGGTGAAAGTCCTCCAGACTCTGCTTTCGAACATCTGGAATCTGATCCGACTTCCCGGAGGCAGAGTGACGCATGTCTGTGGCCGCCGGGGCTCGGATAGGGTAATATCATTCGAATCGTGCCCAAACCTTATGCACAGGTGCAGTCTGTTGGACATGTAGAATCTCAGGACACCCGAAAATCTTGCTGCCGGGCGGCGGGTTCTCCAGCTCTTTTGCCACTTCATTCAGGCACCACAAGGACTCAAAGAGCAGGAAACACCTGATGCCACTCCAGCTACTGCTCTTTGTGTTCGGAATTCCAGAAGTCTCTTTACAAAGAAACATTGTCAGCTTGTACTACACAAGACGCACATGCAATCCGAACAAGGCACAGGATCGGCCCTGCTATGGGCGACCGGGTGAAAACGATGACATAGATTGGGATAAAGGCAGAAAACCTCAGGCACAGCTGAATCCTCTGTCTGGAGGGACACAGTCATCACCTCGTTTCATATCGAGCCAAACGACGCCACAAGCAACATCCCCAACAGCTGCGCGAAAGGCAGCGGGAAGGGAACATCAGCTATCTTGAGGCAGTTGTTGAAACCCAACCTCATCAAGGGCTTGGCTTGGCAAGCTCACGTGCGCGCTCTCACTCAAGCGACTATGGCTACAATCAATTCTCGGGGTCCTCTCTGCAACCCAGCACAGGCACACGACTGCTCACATCAGTAATTAGTGCTGTCGACAGTCGTCTCGACTACTCTCGCACACACTGGCCCGGAAATGGGGGTGTCAGCGCTGAGTCAGCCGCATGCCATTGGAGAGCTCCTGTTTGCACCGGCCCTTCCCACACAGCATGACAAATCGCCTCCCTCTTGTGCTAAAGTGTTGCGGCTGAAATCTGTAGGCCTATCGCCACCTCCCGTCTCTCTGCCCCTCGTGCACAAGTGACCAGCTGCCACTCAGGCGCTCTACTGTTTTCTGCTCAAACCCATCACCGAGGACGCTCCTGGTACATTCGGGATTGAATTGGAGGCGCGATGTCAATGTCTTTCATGGCATCGGCCAGGTCCCAAATGATCCAGTACATGATCGTGGCCACGGTATCCTTAAAGGAGATTGCCAGCTGCCGACAGTCCATCATGCAGCTGCAAAGCTTTTTCCCTATAGTAGACCTGACATCATGAGCCTCTGACAGTCTGATACCTGAGCCAAAACATGAGAAACTCAATCCCGACTCCAGGCCCTCCAAGGTTCGAAGCTCCTGGCTAGCAGCCTCACTTGGTCGTCTGAAGGCACCCCAAAGACGACGTACAATCCATCGTCGGTTTTGGTCCTGTCGTGGTCCTGGCGTTCCTCAGATGCTCGGATTCGATGCTACATGCGCTAGTGCCGTCCCTCCTTCTATTCGCGCTTCGCTGCAGCTTAAGCTCATGAAACTGATTTGCATCCTTAAAATATGATCTCTACTTTTCTTCAACTTTGCTATTCAGTTTTCACTTGTCTGCTAGGCCACGTGGTTGGACTGTAAGAAACCCTGTCCGCTCAAGCCTAAGCTTCGGATAGTTTCGAGCGAGTACTGCGCTTCCGAACTTTGAACAGACTGAGAAGATCTGAAAAGTGCGTATGCACCACCTAATAGTGCCGGGTCTCGATCATCTCTGGCATGCTGAAGCTCTTTTGTTCTTTGTCCACTCGCATGGTCGCACGGGTTCTTGCCCTCGACACAGGACATGAAGCCGGGCCAGGCATGGCAGAGTTTCGATTATTTTTGCTCCGAGGTTTACGGGGTTGTGAAAGTCTCGTCTCTGAGATCCCAAGATATCCCAAGTGACAAGGACCCGTCTGCAGTAGCCGCAACTACTGAATCAGATGCTTTGTTTATCATGGCTGCTACATGAACAATATGTTAAACGGCCATCGCCGCGATCCCACCGAAAATACAGCTGCTCCATGTGCTAGACGGCAAGTAGTAACCCTGCAAGGAGCGTCGCACAGTGGATCCTGCCTGCTGACGCTCACTTCCTCCATGCGCTGGTTGTCTCCTGGCAAAATCTGTCCCTTCTCGTTGTTTGTCCATGCTCGAACATTATCAGCAGGCCCAGTCTCGGACTGTCTCAGTCGAACAAGGCTCTCAATCATTAACTGCGGAAAACCAAGCCCGCTCCTGCAGATCCAGGAGCTAAATAATGCATGCTCCCTGCCCCGCACGATGTAAAATTTACCCCGGTCAAACCCTGGAAGCAATTCGAGACGACTTCGTTTAATCAGCTGTAAGCCTATAGCCAGCCAAGTCTCCGGTGGTCAGCCGGTCGGCGGCGAAAGCGCTGAGCAAGGCATAGTTCACCTGCCCGAAAATGCGACTTTGCCAGTGCATGGTGGAATGGGGCAGCGTTCTAAATCAGTAGCTGTGGAGATTTTTTGTTGCGATGTTCCCAAACCGGCTCCACCTCCGACTGAAGGGGAGAACTTGCTACCCTAGGCTGCCTTGATCCTCTTTTGCTTCTGCCGGATCCGGTCAGCTTTCCTTGGCTGCGTAAGCTTTCCCAAAAGCTATATTTCGAAGCACATTGAGGCAAGATGCACTGTGTCACCCTTGCCATTTGCAGCTTTCTTCGTGACTTCTGCAAAAGCCTGAAACTGCGAGAACCTCAGATGGCGAGGGTCTTCAGACCTTCCGCGTGTTGAAAGACGCACGAAATCATCGGTCGAGCAGCGCATCGGCCCACTTGCTGTACATGAAATGGAGCTGTGTCACGGCTTCCCAGTACCGATTCCACGCAAGCTGCGTGCGGAAAACAATTGCAAATGTGACCTCGGAAGATTTCTTCAGAACAGCGCTGACTCATCCGTGAGTCATCCCTCCTAACACACATACAACTACAGCAGGCAGCAACGGCAACATCTGCAAAAAACAGCCAACCAAATTAAACGCTTTCCCGAGCACTCCAGCTCCGACGGCTTGGAACCCGTAGTGGTGAAAGATATCTGGAGCCCACTGTGCCCACTCATCATCTGCTTCTCGCCGATCGCGCCAGTATTGAAGGGCTCCGCCGAGTGCAGACAAGAAGACCCCTACAAACCTGGTGGAGCACAAGAAGCCCGGTTGCATGAGATGACACGAGGGCTGCCACCAGTCACCTTCCCTCTCTGTTTCTGTGCCGTGACAAGTAACTGTTGTCAATCGCCAACCATCCACATAACACTATTGAGCCGAGACGAATCGAAACCCTCCGAATCACGACCCGAATCGGGACATCAACAATGAAAGGTCAACCGGTCCCCTGCTGCTAACCCTGAGGCTTCTTGTGGCTCAAGCGGCAGCGAGCCAGGTCTATAGAAGACACTGCCGCGACGCTCGAGCAGTAGGCCCAGAAAGCTCTTGTTGTAGTACAGGAGCATGGCATCAGGCTGCGGAAGCTACGATCCTCATGGGGCGATTCGGGAAGATGCGACGTTCAGGACGACTGGAATTGACCGGAACTGCCGATGGCGAAAGCTGCTCGTCGCTAGGCCCTATGGTGCTGGGAACACATCTGCTGGTAGTCATGCACAGACCCATCGCGACCAAGGCTTGTACTTCAGTCTGCACCACCATCTGCTTATTCAAACTGCTCTCTCCAAAAAGCCGAGACCACACACGCACACACTCCGCTGGCTGCACTGACTGCACAGAGAAGCTCATAGGGCTGGGGACTTTCGAGGCTTCCCGAAGTCTTCTGGGCTTGCGATGGCTTGCGGTTTATGTCACGTCGAGATTTCGGCGGATCACCATGAAGACACTGGAGCACAATTCACTTTTTCTGCCCATCCTGCCAAGCACGTCCGAAGGCGAATGCCTCTCATGGACCGCTGTACATGCCTGTGCCTGGCACTGCACTGAGCAGGTTCTTGCTCAACTTGGTTTCATCAAGTGGCTCACATGTGCGAGTTCATTTCAGCAGCTCGTCCCAGTTCACGCTGGACCAGAAATCCTGGACAAAGCGCACGAACGAATGTCCAAACGTCGAAAGAATGTCCACACGTCAAGAGCGAAACTGCGCATGCACTTGTACTCATTGGTCAAAGTACACAGCTGCTTAATCCAATTGCCAACACATACTGTCCTTCTCGTGCGCAGAAGCTATGGTTGTCTTCCCGCAGCTCTGGGAAGGCGGCGCGCCGCAGCCGTTTCCGTGCCAGGCAGTGTCCATAGTAGACGGCGCGAAAAGGTCTATCAAGTCATGCCTCAACTCGTGCCCTAGCAGTCTTATCATAGGACCCTTGCTGGCAGGACCCCCTATCATCATCCCATGACCCAATGACCCGAAACAAAAAACTACAATGGGCGGAACCTGAAAGCTATCTGGTCGATTTCGGCAACCTAAGCAGATTGGATTAGCCACGCGACTGTGCAGTAATGGCTGCAGGCGCAGATGTTGATGGGCTCGGCCACGGTCCCGTCGCACGTGCCCATGAAGAGTCGTAGCTTGGACCTACAGCTTCGTGCTCTGTCGTGGGCCAGTCTCCCAGCAAGTCGGGAACTGGAGCTGCCGGAGCTGCTGGAGCTGGCTTGCTCACCACGCTCTGGGCAGGTGCGGCAGGCTTGCTCGGATTGGCCGTTGAAAGGCTCTGGCCGTAGCCTTGCGAAGGTGCCGGTGCAGCCTTCCGGCCTGGGCCCGCTGATGCTGTGGCCTGGGTATCGAGCGAAGCTTCGAGGCTATGCATCAACAGAAATTTTAAAGTTTAAAGTTTTGACTTAAGTAAGGTTTAGAAGCGCTGAAGCCGAGAAGCCTCTTCGATGTGCCGCTTGACCGCAAGCTGTGCTTTCTCCGTTCCGTAAAGCTTCGTGCAATGCCGCACCTGAACGCAGTGAGAAATGCGATAGCTGTGGAATGAATCGCAGGCAGGTCAGAATCAAGACAACGATGACAAGCTGACCACAAGGCTTGACCCTCCGTCCAGGCTCAAAGACTTCCATCCGATCTGCACATCTTTGTACCAAGCCCTCGAAATCCGCCTAAACCTTTACTCACCGGCATGGCGTGCAGCTACTCATCCAGTCTGAAGTTGACATTCTCGTAAACGAGCAACAAGACGGAGCACATGTAGCATTACAGTAGACCCCATAAAGTTGGAAACCGGACAAAGGCCAAATAGTGCTGGGATTCCCTATACATTACTCTTAAGGATGGAGGCTATGGGGTTTCCAACTTTTAGGCTTCTACTGCATCACCCGGACGAGCTCACAAGATCTGGAGAATATGTAACGCATTCGCAGCTACGTCTGGGATGAGACTTCCCTGCCTTCTGCTCCTTGGACTCGCCAGGCTGCCAGGAGAGGTCGGTCCCCGGCCGGAAGATCTCCTCTTGTACGGCAGTAGACGAAACAATGGGAAATGTGGACTCAGGTTTGGACAGTTGCTTTCAGGCATCTCGCTCCGACGCGTACAATGTGTACTCTCAAAGTACAGTATTACCAGCGCCAATGCAATCAGACTGGATGCTGAGCAGAGTCGGACATCAATGGTGGGTAAGGTGCCGTGCTACTTGCGGCATTTTGTTGTGGGTCCAATTGCTCCAGCGGCTTTTGCCAGGCACTCTACACTGAAGTAGGACACTTGAAACAGACCCCCAACCGGCTCCAGATTCTTGGTGTTTGGTGACACGTGACAGTACCTCGCCTTCGCACGAGTATTGCCAACGGCGCGCATCAGCGCCACCTGACAGTTCTCACGCTGCCGCAGGTTTCGGAGCTACTCCGAGCAGCCTTGGTTTCAGTAGCGCCTCAAGGAGCCAAGCAGCTTTTTATGGTCTTACCTCCAATCCTGAGAGCCCTGAAAGATCCGCGTCTGTGCCTCGTCCGGAGACCAGAGGTATGTGCTGAAGTTCCTTGCAGACAGCGTGCAATGACATGGTCATGCTCACGAGGGTGGCTCTGAACACGGAGCTGCAGCCGAGCGTCTTGACACAGGTGATGTGAGCACCAGCGGCCCGATGCACATCGGAGCAAGTGACCTGTACAGTAGCTGTAAATGAGTTTACAAGCGGCGGTGCAACGATTGGCTTTGTCCCTTCGAAGCCACGGCACACAAATGAATATACCCAGTTTCGGCGAGGCCCAGCTGACATCTGCCACGCCACAGTCAAAGCACCTGCACACGAACTCGTGAAGCCAATCAGCCAAGATTTCAGCCCAAGGTAGGGATCCTTAAGGAGCTCATGCAAGATCCCGTGTTTTGCAGCTTGCGACAGGCGTCCGAATGATCACTCGACTTGCTGCCCCAGGCCCGATGGCCTGTGGCAATGGGCAACTACAAATTGCCGACATGCGGGAGGTCCGCTTGATCCGGTAAAAAGCACGACGACAAGAAAACCCAGCAAAAGCAAGGCACTGTCGGTTGCGTCCCATCTTCTTCATGGCAGCCAACTCCGCTTTCAGCCTGAAATGTGTTCCCTCATTGGCTTGAACGCTGCCCACGTTGCGACCGAATGCGACCGAGATGCTGCGGCTGCTGATCTTCGATCTCTGACTTCGGATACGCATTGCCGATCTTGCTCCTTTCACTGCCCTGGACCCAACGCCCTTGCCAACGAAAAAAATCTCTGAAGGTCCTGAAAGTACTCGCAGATGTCGACATATTGGCTCCGCACTAGATGGTAGCTGCCGTCCCACACTTGAGCCACTTATGTCAGGGATCGAGCATGGTCGACAGGTAAAGCAATCTACCCTGGAGATACACACCTCGCAAAGGCCTGAACAAGCTCAAGTGCGGCATGTGCAACATCAAGAATCAAGCCAACGCTGCAAGAACACGGATTGAGCAGGAAGTCCCCTTCACTGTGCCCTACAATGCCTGCGAATCTCGAGGCGCGATCGAACTAGCCGAGCCGCTGAAAAAGTAGCGCATTCCGGCACAATGTGCATCGATGTGGTCACGTCGAAGGGCTAAGACAGGGCCTCGGCGTTTGGAAAAATTCGAGGCAGGATGGAACCAGCACGGGTTACAAGGAGTGCGATCAAACAGCACGGCTTGTTCACCACAGCCGAGCTGCACACTTCAACGGTCTCCCCTGCAGCGATGGGAGCTCCCGCGAAAACACCTGCAGCTTTGACAAAGGGTTTGGAGCCTTTGTGCACGGGAGAGCAGCCTGCCCGAGCCCACCTCGACCACCACGCTGAGACGCTGCGATGCGAAGCGGCACTCGGGGACCGAAGGCCTCGGCCTTCAGTGCAGTCATTCTCATGTACCCCTTCACCTCTCCACTGACGCACTGCCCCCCCCCCCCCCCGTGCCGCACAACGACGCGGTTTTTCCCTCGCAGGATTGGCAGGTCGAGGCCAAGAGCTGCCCGGAATGCTTGATATATTCATTTGACTCACATGGTTCTCTGCTTGCATCCTCTCAGACAACGTACCAGTCAACCAAGTCAAGAGCAACTCACACGGCATCACATGCTGCCACCGTCTACACTTAAAGAGTTGATTGAGGCCCGGGTCCTCGACGTAAGTTGGGAAACGTGTGGCTGGCCACAGCTGACTCGAAACGAGCATTCTGCGAGTGTTCGTGTTTGAGACTCGCCACAAGACGGAGATAAAGACTCGCCGTTTCATTCGGTTCCTACTACGATTCTGCAACCGCACAGCCACAGAAGCTTCTGTGCAATGCTGCATCAACCAGTACCGGGGACATCGTCTTCATCTCCTCGTCTTCTGGCACGTGCCAGTATGTACAACTCTGCCCTGAAGCATGTGATCGCACTTGTTCCTCGGCTGTTCAGTCCAGATCTGGTACTTCGCATTTTCCTGAGCCGAAGTCTTGCACAAACCAGAATATACAACCAGCGTGCTCTGAATGATCTGGACAAAGGAAACGTCCCAGGTCGTTTCTTGGTCAAGCGGCAGTCGCCGAAGAGCAGGGCTCCAGCGTTGGACTCCAGAGGCAGATCTGCACCAACCAACCGGACCTGCGCTCTGTTGCGAGACATATGGACCCATGGGTACATACAGCTGGTTGGGTCCCGTGCAACCGCTTGTAGTGGTGCTGGCTTGATCAAGCCAACGAGGACAAGTGCTGGCTTCTTATGCAGGGGTGCAGCGGAGCAAGCGGTCTGAAAGCCACGAGGCCTTTGTTCGCAGTCAGTGCTACTACGCTGATGAGATGCCATCTATTGCCATCTTCCACTGCCCAGGCGACCTCGCGGATGTGCCCAATCTGGTCTGTGTCCTTTCAGCTCGGCAAACTGGGCAACAGCATGCGAAGCCAATGCCGCTCCTTGTACGCCTGGTACGTGCTGCGTTCCTTCTTCACCTGGACGCTGCACCAAAAGAAAGGGCAAGAATCAACGTTCTCATCATCGTTTCATCCGAAACCATGCATGTTCAGCACCGTTTAAAGACTCATAGCAGGCTTGGCAAGGCTGACGTTCGAGGGTGTGGCGAAGTAAAACTTGCGGAAGTACTTTCCTTCCTCCTTCAAGCGCTTGTGTATAGCATCCTTGGCGAGACAGCTGAAGCGAATTCGCAAGAGCCTGCTGACACTTTGAGTTCGTCAGGTCTCATACCCGCCTGTGTGAGCAAGCAAGAGCAGGAGTCTGGAACATTCAGACTTGCTGTGGCCATCATTGGCACCGAGTCTCTTTCGCATCTGCGAAGGTGCTGTTGCCTCGTATGACTTTGGAAGTGATGAAACGGTCAAACTGTTAGAGCCAGGCTCTGTCTTCTCTTAATTAGGGTACGACTTGGAGCAAAACGTTGCGGCATCGACACTCAGATTAAACGCAAGGCAGTCTCTCGCAGACTACGTCAAGAACATGTAGCCAAGATGCTCATTAGTTTTAGCGTCGTCTGGCGGTCATTGAGTGCATGGCATACCTGGGACATGTCCAAGCCAAAAGGGCTTTGCATGCCTCTGTTGCCACTCTCCAACGAGCCGGTCCAGCTGCGGGTGGCAAATAAACATCCCTAAAGTGAACGACTTGGAACCGACTCACCACCAGCCCTAGTGACGGCCGTTCCCCTGATGTTGCTGAAAGCTGCAACAAGCTCGATGGACTCGACGGGGACCTCGTTCGGTAATCTTCACTGGACGACACGGGACGGTGCTGTCACGGAGCAACGTTGCGGAGTTCAGTTGAAAGGAGATGGTTTCATCCAAGGAGCATTGCGCTTGTGCCGCTGCTTCGCACGCGACTTCCGGGCCTGCTCGACCATGGCTGCCTCAGGACGTCGCTGCAAACATCTCTTTCGAACCCCTTCAACCCTTCCTCTTAGATGCCACCTTCCAGCTGGCAATGCGACCAAAGAGCTGCAAACGTCCAGTCATCCCCGTCCTGTGCCATGCGTTACACCGCACCCCATTACATCAACAGGTGGCCTTTCTGAGGACCGTCAGAGGATTTCTGCGCTCCCTCCCTCTTCTGCTCCTCGTCATCATAGTTTTTGCGAATCAGGGCCGGTGGCGCATCGAAGTCGATGTCTAGATGCGCCTCTGCTGCCACGAACGATGAGAGTCCGGTCGTTGAGGTGAAACGCTTGCAAGCTGTTGCAAGTAATGCAGGTTTGCAGGCAAGATCTTTCGCAGCCCGCTCGAGGAACACAACCAAGCACTGCAAGCCGGATTAATGATCGACCTGACCACTTCCTTACTACCTGACTGCAAGTCCTCGAACCAGCGATTAGCGACAGCTGCCACTGAGCCGCTTCGTCGTCACTGTCCGGCTCCCCACTGAGACTTTGCATAAATGACCTTTGTCACGACAAGTGGGAAATGGGCCCACGAACTCAATTCGTCATATCTGCAGGCATCGTGGCTGTTGCACATACCAACTTTTGCCCTGCTCGCTCTTTGAAGACATGTCCGAAAAAACAGTCCTTACTGTACCTCCTGTCACAAAATGTAGCCGTCGCAGTACATGCCCCAAAGCCGCAAAATCCAACTGCTGGACAGAAGCAGTAGCTTGCATCCCTGACAGACTTTGGAGATCGAAGAAGCAGCAGCAGCCAGAAGAGCCGAAGCTAGGACGTGCTAGAACATGCTAGAACTATAGACTCTACCCAAAGTTTCAAAGGCCCCAAAGTAGTTCGTTTTTAGGGGTCATATATAGAACCCTATAAGGTAATCCCAAAAAGGAACTACTTTGGGGCCTATGGGTAAACCGAGGCAGTGCACCGAATAGGCGGCCGCAGGTTCGGTGCCAGCGCTTGGAGCACCTCCTCGCGCTCCGCATGGGAAGCCTGGCAAGAGAAAGTCCTGTATTATATTGTAACATATATTATATCATATATTAATATATATATATATATATATATACATATATATATATATATATATATATATATAATATATATATATATAATATATATATATATATATATATATATATATATGCACATCGTGCGGGGATGGGGGGAAACTAAGGGTGGCTGAGCTCCTTGTGCATGAAAAATTTCCAGGCTAACTGGCATTCTGAAGTCTGTTGGCGGAATCCTCGAGGCTTGCCGAGGCACTTCCTCCCCCGAGCAAAGGCGCAGCAGTGTGGCACACGCCTCTACAACAAGTGAGATGTGGCAATACATTGCTGTCGCTCAGTCGCTCAGAGACCTTGCCAAATGTTGGTTCTTTCAATCGGAAGATCCCGGCACCCCACTGCTGCATCATCCTCATCCACAAGCATGTGTAAGCTTACAGAGGCTTACGACCTGCGCTGTATTTGGGAGCGCTGAAGCCAACAAGTCTGACTATGCCATGCCAGACTCCATAGCGTTACCCTCGCCTCGCTGGAGCAAAGGTCGCTGGCCAAGGAGCCGATGAAGGACTGGTGCCTCGGGCGGCTTAGGGTTTAGGGCGGTGCGGGGTTTTGAGGGTTGTAGGGTTGCACAGCCCAGCAGTGGTCCATAACTACTATAGTATGATGTCTCAAGCCTCGCTAATACTACTGCTTGCAGCTACTTGCTCCTCGTGGCAACAGACGCAGCAGCGGCAGTAGCGGCAGGAGAGGCCGCAGCAGCAGCGGGAGCAGGAGGAGCGGTGGTGGTAGTAGTAGTAGTAGTAGTAGTAGTAGTAGTAGCAGTAGCAGTAGCAGTAGCAGTAGCAGTTGCAGTAGCAGTAGCAGGAGCAGCAGCAGGAGCAGCAGCAGCAGCAGGAGCAGCAGCAGCAGCAGCAGCAGGAGCAGGAGCAGGAGCAGGAGCAGGAGCAGGAGCAGGAGCAGTAGCAGTAGCAGTAGCAGTAGCAGTAGCAGTAGCAGTAGCAGCAGCAGCAGCAGCAGCAGGAGCAGGAGCAGGAGCATGAGCAGGAGCAGGAGGAGTAGCAGTAGCAGTAGCAGTAGTAGCAGTAGTAGCCAGTAGCAGTCAGTAGCAGTAGCAGTAGCAGTAGCAGCAGTAGTAGTAGTAGTAGTAGTAGTAGTAGTAGTAGTAGTAGTAGTAGTAGTAGTAGTAGTAGTAGTAGTAGTAGTAGTAGTAGTAGTAGTAGTAGTAGTAGTAGCAGTAGTAGTAGTAGTAGTAGTAGCAGGAGCAGGAGCAGCAGGAGCAGCAGCAGCAGCAGTAGTGCGTTCGTAGTCGTCCTCGTAGGAGGAGGAGGAGGAGGAGGAGGAGTGACAGCAGCAGGAGTTGTTTCTTCTTATGTTTTTCTGCATGGCGGTGGTCTTCTTATTCTTCGTGGCGGCGTCGTTGTTGTATGGGCAGCAGCAGTCTTACTTAAAACCTCTGTGACTGAGACAAGACTAATGGTCTTTCAATCCATGTCTCGCGAGAATTGGTGCCTCTTGCAGCTGCTCTCAAATCCGCACTCGGAAACCCCCCTACGCCCCTGGGTTCCAACTTGAGAGATGCTGCTGTGGATCGGCTCCTGCAAGGAGAAGGCTGGCCAAAACCTAACCAGGCTTCTGGCGCTTGTGACTTTCCATCCGGAAAATGAATGACATCACTTGATACTGCGCATGCCGGGTGGCGCTGACGTCCCCACTGGCTGCTGCCTCAAAAAGTGGAGTCTCCCCCACCTTGGCGATGACGTGCGGCAAGCTTCTTGTTAGTTACTATTCATGCTATGGTCTGGGGCTTCAAGGCTTGGGGCTTGAAGGGAACCGAGTGCACGCGTAAAATCTTTCAGAGCCTTGCAAGCTCGTGTGAGACTGTGCCGCACCGGAGAAACACTTCCGCCACTCGTCTCTCACCGCATGGGGACGGAAATCGCGGTGACGGCACTGAGCACAGCTAGGATCCACGAACGCCTATCATCAGCGTCCAGCTCAAGCAGCAGCTGCATGCTGAGGCACTGCATCGACCGAGTTGGGGTCTGACTTCGCATCGAGGAGCCGTTTCACCTCAATTAGGTCACCTGCAGGGCCAGGGTGCAGAGACATTTGAAACCATGCTATCCCACAAAGTCAAGTCGACTCAAGTCCTGCCGGGCAAGCAATTGGATGCGACTTTTGATGACGCTCAGCTTGGCTGTTCCGGTGCGAGACCGCAAGAAAGCTGGCTGTGATCGGAAACATGACTGGTGACTACAGTGCAACAGGCTGCTCTGCACTGGCGCCGCCAACAGTTCTGCGACGTTCACACTGGAACTTCGCTTCCCGGCCTATCCGCGAGGCAAATGCCAGGGGGGATGCCTGTGATGCGGATGGTGCTTCCTGACAAGCAGCTGCCTGTAGCTGGAGCTCGCGGCTCAAGGAGCTGGGAGCGTTTGTACAAAACTGAGCTTTCGGTGCAATGACAAGGACTCAGGCTCCAAGAGCTGGCGGCGGCTCGCTGGAGGCATCGGAGACTTTGTGTTTAAATGCTTTCAATCTGTAGACGGGATCCACCCCGGGCGGGCTGCCTCCTTCTTCGCCGAGGCCTTTTCTCTTCGCGGCTCTGGCGTAAGACCGGAGGACTCCGCCGCTGTGGAGAAGGCGCCCTCACGGCTCATGAGCAATCTTTGAAGACTACGGATGCCTGGAGCCTGCTCTCCCACAAGTGGGAAAAACTTGCTGTGAACCCAGGCTAAGGAAACTTTGCAGTTGAACCTGGCGCAGTGTCCCCAAACAACCCATTGAAGACAAACAGACAAACACCCGTACTTTTTCTGCAGCATCTTGGCATCAAGTTTCCCAACATAGGGGACCCTAATATAGTGCCCTAAACAGTCGGATCCTTTTTTCAGGACCCCAAAATAGGATACCCCTAATTTTCGGAAACTCCCATGGCTGGGCCCCCAGCCCGCGGCATGGCGCTTGGAACTGCCACAGCAGCGGCCGTTTGTGTGTCTTTGTCAAAACCGTAGAATAGCAATAGTAACGGTAATAGTAATGTCAGATCAGTGCTACAGTGCAGTCTGAAAGAAGGGCGTCACGGTGGCTGAGTCAGCAAATCTAGAGAAGATGAGCTCTGTAGGCTTCTATGCGGCTCTGAACCGATCTAGGCCAGTTGGGTTACTTGGCTTGGGCGGTGAATGAAGTAGTCACGACCTGTCTTAATCCTTTCGGCTGCGCGGCATCTGTCATCTATGAGACGTTTTCTTCAAGCAGCTGGTGAGGAAACACGGCAGCAGTTAAGCAACTTCGCATCTTGCTCAAGCAGCGCTGCATAACACAACCTGTACAAGCAGAGAACTCAGGTCCTGCATCAGTCGCCCTTGCAGGTAGAAAGCCCCTGTGCGGTTCTGCTGCCGACTGGGGCACCGGCTTTGCCCACGAGCTGCCTGGCACTGGCAGCGCGGCTTGAACCCATGGTCATGCAGGGGCCATGCCCTAAACCCTAAACCCGGCTCAAAGGGACTGCGTTGCCACACTGCAGCAACGGTTCCAGGCCAAGCCACACTCGCGGCAGCTCCTCATCCTCGTCCATGCGAGTCAGAAGCCGGACCACCTGACGGCAAACAGGCACTCTCGCACTGCTTGTGGGGTATCGTCTTACAGCAGACAACATTTCTCAAGGCGCCGAAAGGTCTAAGTTACTGACACCACTTTTGCTTCGTGGCCTTGCTATGGCTCGCCATCTTCCTGCTGCTCGCACACTCTAGCAACAGATGCACGGGACCCCCGGAACAAATTGCAGTCCTCCGCCGAATGCTCGCAAACATGCCTCCGGGCAAGCGCATGCTCCGCAGACCCGAGAAAAGTGCAGCTGCAATGTGCATCAAACAGACTAGATTCACCAGCCAACAGTGTGACGTAAGCATGCCTCCGCTTGAACACCCCGTCTGCCCTAGCCTAGAGGTGTTAAAGCCCTTCTTGCGCATGCCACTCTAAGATGCAGCTATTACTACTACTACTACTACTACTACTACTACTACTACTCCTACTCCTCCTCCTGCTGCTGCTACACTACGACGACGACAACGACGACTGCCCGTCCGACCCTGGGAATGGCCACCCCATGGGAGCATGCAAAACTTTCCACAGCAAGAGACCAGACCCTGGCGACATCGGACAGTGTGTAAGGGTGTGTAAGCCCTCGTCCCAAGTGCCCTGAAGGCTCCGGAGCCTGGGATATCATCGCTTCGCGCCAGAGGACAAGCACAGGCCATTGCAAGATTGCATCGTAAAGGTTCTCGACGTCGGCTTGATCGTTACATGCACAGTTCGACTCAACATTTTAATTCAACACCGTGGACCTAGAGCTCCATCTGTCTCCACATCCTGGCATGTGTTCTGCCCATCCGTTGGCTGTCTGCCTGAGTCGGTGCTTGGCTGTCTGCTTAAAGATGCACACCTCGGACGATCCAGGTGAAGGCTCCGCGCATGCCGAGCTTCTGACGAATGCGAAAGAGAAGAACCAAAGAACCGACGAGCCAATTTTCACAGCATCGTCCATCGAGATGAGGGTCGGCTTGCTTCCTGCAACGTTGGGGCCTGGCACTGAGGCCTAGACCCCAAGTGGCACTGTGCATTCTGAAGTACTCATAATCTAATCAAGCGCAAGAATCTGAATTAGTTTGTCCAGGCCTTCTGGCCATTCGATGCAGTTTGCAGCAGGCGCTTGCAAGGATCAAATTCTGATTCGTTCCACCCTGTTCCGCTTGAGCATCTTCCGCCTCAACGATGAAATGAGTCCCGCCCCAGCCCTGCAAGCTTGCGGAGAGTCTTAAACTCTTTCGTCAGGAATATTGACAAGGAGCCTGCCCCAGCAAAGGTCGCAGGTGCAGCACATGTCAGGCGCCGAGGCCTTTACGTTAATTCGGAACAAAGAGCAATGAAACAGAGCAACCTTTGCCTTTGTCTGAAGGCATCCTTTGGCTCCCGAGCAACGGCTCATAGCTAACTGTCAGGGCGGGCCTGCAATCCGCCACCAAGCGTCGCACCACTAGTAGACTACTAACGCAACGATTATAAAGCTTCATAAGGCTTCAGAGCTTCGCATGGCTTCGCCCAACTGAAGCGTACTCATCAACTGACTGGCCACGAGTTTAGGTGGCTGATGACCGCTCGCCCTTAAGAGAACCATTCCTCTCGACACGGAGAGCCTTGCTTCTAGCAGAGGCCGCCGCTAGGATCTGACGTGGTTCTTCAATTCCCATGTCTGGCTTTCGGAAACCCAATCAAGCTCAGTTTTTCGCAAGGGCCTTCATAAGGCGTTGAAGCATGAGCAATCAGCAACCGAAAAACCACGCAGGAACCCTTTCGTCGATTCCGCTAAAACTGCTTCATCATTTCGAGGACAGGTAGCAGCGGTACCAATTGTTCACGGCTTTGAACGAGTGGAACGCCACAGCGGCCTTGTTGCCGCAATCTACGCCCCAACAGCGTTCGTCGTGCAAGAAGTTGCCGTAGTCTTGCAGGGCCTGCACTCCCAACATCTCCAGGCATCCCGCCATATACTTGTCTTCCCCCCAGGACCAGAACGGCAAGCTATGCTCACAGCTCCAATGCTGTGCGTGATATTTTCCGAGGGCTTGCTTGGAAAACACCTCCAGAGCCCCGTACATCGCTGGCTTCCATTTCGCACAGTTGAGGAAGAAGACCGGCGCACCAACGTGCCAGGACAGGTGTGGCCGGACCCGCTCCGGGAAAAGAATTGCATCCGGGTCGACCTTGGCGATGAAGTCGTAGTGCCACCAGTCGTTATTGTTCAGCAAAGTCAGCCACGTTCTCATGAAGACCTGGGAGTTAGCGGCGGTATTGTCCACAGAGACGCCGGATGCCGTTGAGCCGATGGGGATGGTCCTGATCCCCTGGATGTCCACATCCACATCGCTGTAAACCCCGAACCCGTCACAGGCAAAGATACCGCTTCCGGTCTGCCTCTGCAAGTGCATGGTATCCATCTCTGGCCCAGGCCGGGCCACGGAGAAGCAATAAATTGATGGCGATCCTTTCGGAGCGGGTGGTGGGATTGGGTATGGCTCGTTTTGGCAAGGCCTCGGACAGTCGGATTGGTTCGTCTCGTGCAGGAACTGCTGGATAACCGTGCGATTGGAACCCCTCCACACACCCTTGGGGTAGGCACCGGGATTCTCAATAGTTCCGATCCATTTGTGCCACAAAACGGCACCATAGCACGCTTCGCCAGCGACTGCGGAGTGGCACTTGGTGCTTGCGGTACTGGCTGCGGCTGCTGCGGCTGAGGCGTGCTTCGTGGCGTCCCTGTGCGCGGCAAGCTGCAGCCACACTGGTTCCCTCGCGTCCGGTGCCTTGTAGTTCAGCATCCGTCGACCTGCCACGCCTGCCATGCCCACCGCCGTCGCTAGAAGAGCGATCAATGCCACAATCTTCCAGGGGCCGTGGTCCGAAGATCTTGAGGCGAGCACTTCATCGCCCTCGATGTCCCTCGTCTCTTCCTGGGATTCCTCAGTGTCTCTTGCGGCCTTCTGATAGTAGAGCAGCCGGGCCTTGTCTGGGGATTCTCGGGCTGAGGGCATGGCTGGCGCTGAAACCCGTGGGCTCACTTGGGCCGCAGCACTAACGAAAACCAGCACGAGATGTCCTTGCAGCCCCATCGATACTCAAGTATGATGCTGAAGGAGTCACCGGCGATGTGCATTTCTCACGCATCAATCCACCTCTTTTGCCTCAAGGGCTGACTCGCTGCACCTGGTTTTCTCAACAAGGAGCCCGAGCCCCACGACGTGGAAAATGGAAGATGCCTGTCACCAAAGTTTAGAGATTCAGTGTACGCAGCACAGGGAATTACGGCTTATAGAGAGTTCAGGCGAGCGTTTCTCTTCGACGACGCATGTCATAACAAGCTTTGGTGAGCTGCTTGCAGACTGTACAGAGCGGCAGTGAGACCTTCGGGCAAAATGTCGAAAGCAGTTTCAAATTTCAATTTTCAACGAGACGCGGGTGCAACTTTCTCTCAGCACACTCACCTTGTTTGTCTCAGCAGCCGCCTGGTCGAACACAAGCTATCTAATGTTCAGATCGGCGGAGCAGCGTAGCAGATCTTTCCCTCTGGCTGGCCCTTGCTTCTGCGCGGCGGCTTTCTGGCGAGAGGTTTCACTCGCATGTGTCAGGCCGGCAGTCAGCAGGGGTGCGCTTTCGGATGTTTATCGCGCACAGCTGCCCATCAATCATCTCGTGATCCTGACAGGGTCGGGTCAGCGGAATCTAGCAGCAAGTCAACGTTGAGGAAAGCTCAGACGCCTTCGGAGTAGAAACCATGATAGGGGTGGATGCACCAAAATCACCAGATGCGCACGGATCGAAGTTTACCAGTTTACCAGCTCCTCAATGTAGGAAACCTTGTCGCCCACCGCCATTGAGCCGTAGTCGTCGGCTAAACCCGTGGTTGAAAAGAATGCCTCGTCGCCGCGGCAAGCGCAAATGTGGAAGTCGTTCCAAACGGGAAAGACTCCACACACACACACACACACACATCCCACAAAGGCTCACAGCCCTAAAAGGCGTAAGCATGCATACACCTACCCCAGTGGCACCTCCGAGTCACCGGTGTCTGCTTTGATGATCCCATAAGCTTTCGCTTCGTTGAACAGAACGACCTGCAGCAGGAATGCTTTTGCTCCGGGATGCTTGCGCAAGGATACTGTAGTCGTCCCTACACTCACCCGGCCCATCGGCACGATGTAACACTTTGTAGCTTTTGTTATCTTGCAGCTCCGTCAAGTACAGCCGGAACCCCTCAAGGAAAAGCATCATCGTTCGTCCACTGGCTTGCATGCATGCGGCCTCCCCACTTGCTTCTGAACTTCGCTTGGGACTTCTCCGGCCTGAAGATAGCGACCACTTGTCAAGTAACTGCGTGCGAAATCATGGATATTCCGCCGTGGATGTGTTCAGAGGAGAGCTGCCACTCCCTGCTGCTTGCGGGCTGCATGCGGATATCGCAGAGCAATTCCGCCAGCCCGGCTTAGCCCGGCTTCTGCGGCTACTACGACTACAACGAGTAGCAATAATGCGGCTACATACCTCTGCAATTGCTGCTACTTCCTCCCAACGATGACGACTACTGCCACTACTAACACTGCACTACTGCTACTACTACTACTGCTACTGCTGCTGCTGCTGCTGCTACTGGTACCGCTCCGGCTACCGCTTCTGCTACTGCCACTGCCATTGCCACTGCCACTGCTACCACTACCACTACTACGATTACTACTACTACTACTACTACTACTACTACTACTACTACTACTACTACTACTACGACTACGACGACTACGACTACGACTACGACTACGACTACGACTACGACTACGACTACGACTACGACGACGACTACTACTACTACTACTACCACCACTATTTCAATTCAATTGAACGCTGTGCGAGCGGGCTCAGCACATAGCGGGCGATTGCCGCGGTGCACTCACTTGGTGTGAAACTGACTCAGACCCTATAGCTGATCAGCCCAGGTCAAAAACCTTTGGATGTTGGCGGCCTACAGGCTTTGAACTAACTGGCAGGAATCAGCCAAAGCGAGTTTGCAGGCTGCTAGGCATCAAGCTTCAGTCGTTGTATGTACCTGAACATGGATAGTGATTCGGCATTGCGGATACCAGAGCAGCAGTAACGCGACCGGCGGCAGGCTAGGGCTTGTTTTCCAACTGACAGCTGCGGCATTCGGCAGAAAGGCTGTCAGTCCGTTCCGGAAGAGACGAAAAAGGAAAAGCAGGCATGGCCTCCGCAGTTTATTGAGTAGTCTGCCATTGGCACCGTTGGTCGTGGGCAGAACTCACTGATGCCAGGAGCGGCTGCCACTGGCCCCGGAGTCCGATGTCCGATCCCCGATTCCACCAACCTCCTCGGTTCCAGGCGTCACCGTCCCTGTGGCGCTTGTCTGTGTGAGACTGTGTCTCTTCTCCAGAGCGCTTGTCCCGCTGTTCGCGCTGCTCGCGCAGCTCGCGCTGACGGTGCCATTGGTAGGTGGCCGTGTCGCCCTTGTTATGCTCGATACGAAGCTTGCGGACAACTTGTCCATCCCGGGGCTGGTAGAAAATGGCACGATTTTGGCCGCCGCTCTTTCTGGAGGACTGATCGTAAATGCATTTGAAGGTAGAGGCCACAATCTCGAAGTTGTCGTCCGTTTCGAGCAATGCATTCATGTCCGAGTGATCCCACATTTTCTGGAAGAGGGCGTGCACTATGCCATAGTAGGTCGTGGTGGACTTGAGCTCGGTGTAGCGATCATCTTGGCCAATTGATAGTGTGAATTGGCCATTGGCCCCGAACATGAGCCGCGCTTGCGTGATGTCAAGCCAGTTGGCATCCTTGTCAGTGACAGTGGCGACTTTCTTGATCGGGGCAAAGATCCATGGCACTTTTCCTAGTGCCCGAAACCGATTGGTCCACAGGTAGACCTGCTCGGAGGCAGTGAGGCCGCCCACTATGGCCTGCTCCTTCATAATGGAGATGGTCGCGAAAGCGTGAACCCACTCCAGCATCTGGTCAGATTGGCATATATGGACAATCTGATCTCGCTTGGGCAGCTGACTTGCCTCTTGCTCTGGAGAGGGGTTGACACTGTACTCCACTAGCTTGGTCGTAGTGACCGGGCCCTGGTATTTGACCTCCTCGCGTGTGGAGGGTGCATCCACAAGGGGAGATGGGGCTGGAGTCTGCGGGATGGTCTCCTTGGTGGAAAGTCGGCTAGCTGGAGCACCAAGACTGGCTTTCCTGCCGCTACTGCGAGCGCAATGGCAGGCGCTTGAAGTTCCCCAATGAGTTGGGGGTAACACACCACTTCATGCAATCCAAGCATGACCGATCCGCGCCTGAGCCACCTGGACCGCCACCACGCAACAGCATGTGGTCACAGCGCCCGGCAGAGCCTGCTGACCCTCCCACCAGAACCCCAGTGGCGACCTACAGCGTCGGTGTCTAAGGCACGCTTTGGGCTTGGACTCCCTCCCATTCCGCCAGGCCCTAGCCCCCCCTGAGCAGGGCCACCGGCCACTTGCCGTGAAAGAAGAACAAGGGGTCAATGACCAGCCTGCAGAAATCAAGGATGAGTCACCGGCCACTGCCGCCCCCACGCTGGACTGGGCAGAAGACACTGTGGGAACACCAGAGTCTCCTATGCCACCGGCGGGTTCACAGTTGCACCAGAAGTCTGCCGGATCTGGCCAGATGCGCCTTTCAATGCATTTTCGGGCCAGACTGCGACCCCAACGACCCCCACCACAACACCTGCGACCTCTACGCCGCGGGGGATGTTGCGAAGGACAGCCTCGGCCGAGATGCCGTTGTACTGCGGCTCCTTCTCGACCGCTGCCATGATCGCGTCAAAGTCACCTCGCTCAAGGCTGCTGAGCACGGTCTCGCCGACAACTCGGACGCCTGCATTGGTGAGCATTGCTCCCGCCTGTGCTGAATGGGGTGCTGCAGAGGCAGCGCCACCGGTTTCAATGACCTCCGAGATTATTTGGGGCACGCTCTGCATGAGAGAATTTTCATTTCGTTGAGCTGCCCTGGGGTCTCCCTTGAAGCCCTTGCGCCAGCTCCAGCAGCGGGTGAAGGCAACGCGAACCTGCCTGCTGGTCTCAAAGTAGTGACCATCGGACTCGAGCTCCTTGGATGTGGTGAGCTGGGCCGAATGGCGCTCACGGAGCAGATACACCGGTCCAAATTGTTTCGTCTGATTCCATCCCGGCACTGGGGTGTGGCCCATGTCATTGGAGAGGAGCTTCCAGAGCTCCTTGCAGAAAATCATGTAGTCAAGATTGGCGACCGATGTGAGGATCTGCCTGCTGAAAGCGTGGTTGATAGCGCAGAGAATCAATGGATGGCGCGGTTGGCCATAGATGATGCCTTGGAAAATGTGGTCGTTTTTGACCCCAATGCCCATGATCAGGTACTCCCGGGGGAGAACCCCTTCCACGCCATTTGGGCAGTGCCCCAGCTCTTTGCTCTTGCGAACTTGGACATTGTCCCATTCTGATGCGAGGAGCCCCAGAATTGCATCGAAGGGCATTCGCAGCGCCATCTTGATGTCCAGGTACAGGCCACCATGATAATAGTGGTAGACGTATCTGAAGACATCAGCCTTGTGAGCAGGCTGCCTCAGGCTTCTGATCAAGTTTTCACCGCTGTCTCCAGCGTGCACTTGAAGGGTCTCGAGCAAAATCTCATCGTTGCAGAAGGTGCGCTCGAAATCGGCCAGGAATTCCCGGCACATGCTCTTGGGACCGGGGTGGTCATCATGCATGTATGTCTGAAACAAGGTGCGGGGCATTGGCCGGCGACTTGCATTCGGCTCAAGGAATGGCCGAAAGGCCCATGCCTTTTCCGTGGCGAGCGGCCACCGCTCCAACTTCCGACAGTGTCTCCGCGTTGCATAGGTCGAACGTGGCATTCATCTCCTTGTGGACATTGTCCCCCTTGCAGTTCCATGAACAGACAACCAGAACGTGGATCGCGTTGGGCTTCAAGCGTCTCATCGTTCGAATTGAGCGAGACACCA